TGGGTTTGTAAGGCCATGTTACTCCTAAATTTCTATCTTGTTCAAAGAGAAGATATAAAACAAAGTTCTAAGCTAACGACCTTAGTGTTCTCCTTTTTTAAAAGAATCGATAAAGAATCGAGTCGTTAAACAGAATCGAACATGAAATCGGAATCGTGAAAATCTCATCACCCATCCCTACTCCTGAAGCAGTGTTTGTCCTTTAGTGAGAGAAAAGCTGATGTTCTTTATGTTCCAGCTCAAAGTGTCTGCTGTCCTCCAGGCTAAACATGATGAAATGTAAAAGCATATGTGTTGGTGTCTCCACGCTGCTGCAGAGATTTAAAACTGAATGCGTGTCAGTGCTGGGACAGCCTCACAGTGACACCTTGTGTTTCGGAGGGTTTTATTTTCATGTGATAACACGATGACGTTTGAGTTCTTAAAGACAAGAACGTCTGTGTCCAACGAGGGGCTTTCAAAGCTTCTCCTGCATGATTTTGCCTGAAAGACTAAACTCAGGGAGCAGAACTCTGGGTGCAGTTTTGACATAATCATCCATGAACTCACTATAAACAGAGACATGGACCCAGACCCAGACCTGTGGTCCAGTATAGTCCAACATACTCAGCTAAAGTCCAGCAAACTCCACTACAGTTCAAACAGCCCAGCATAGTCTGCTCAAGTCCTCTGCAGTGCTACAGTCCAGCAGCTCCTTGTACAGCCCACTATGGTCCACTATAGTCATGTAGAATCCAGCACAGTCCAGTGTAGTCCAGAACCGGTCCCTATGGTGCATGAGAGTCAACTACAGTCCAACCAAGTCCTTTACAAACCACTTCAGTTAAGTATAGTCTGCTAAAGTCCAGAAAAGTCCTCTGCAATCCATCGTCGAGGAGGTTCTCCTGTAGTCTGTCAGAATCCCACACAGTCCATTATAGTCCACTACATTTTAGGACAGTCTACCAAAGCCCAACAGAGTCCCCTACCGTCCAACCAAGTCCACCGCACCCCACTACAACCCAGCAGGGTCCAGTACAGTCCACTAATGTCCACTACAGTCATCTACAATCCAGCAGACTCCTCTATACTCTGCTAAAGTCAACCAAGTCCTCTGCAGACCACTACAGTTCAGAATATTGTGCTGAAGTCCAGCCAAGCACTCTACGGCTCACTACAACCCTGCAGGGTCCTCTACAGTCCTCTACAGCTCAGGACCGTCACCTGCAGTCCAGCACAATCGTCCCCAGTGGACTGGAGCTCAGGACAGTCTGACACCACCCAGCCGAGTTCTGCACAGTCCCCTGTAGTCCGGCAGAGTTCGGGACAGTCTGCTGATTCCAGGTGAGTCTCAGAGTTGAGCTCAGTGTTTTTGTTGTTTACGGAGCAGCAGACAGACAGACAGCTCAGAGTGAGGAACAGAGTTTGACAGAGCGACAGACAGACAGGTTAAACAGACAGTTTCAGAGTGCCGGGACAGACAGACAGCAGAGAGACAGCCAGAGGAGGACGGATGTCAGACAGAGAGACACCTCCTTACCTCCTCTCTGCTCCTCTTCCTCCTCTGCTTCTCCTCCATGCAGCAGGCAGGACGGCTGGCTGGGAGAGGTTTTCTTCTTCTCCTGCGCTCAGTCAACGCATCGTCTGGTGTGTCACAGGAGGGGGGGAGGGAGGAGAGGGAGGCAGAGACACAGCAGACAGCCGAGGAGGAGGAGGAGGAGGAGGAGGAGTCATCTGAGGACAGCGAGGGAGCTAATGCGGCTAACTGCCCTGCAGAGGACGAGAGAGAGAGGGGCGGGCGAGCATGCATTACATAGAACACGCTGCAAGGTTGAACATTACTCATGAAACTCGCTAAAAACACACATGTAGGCTGTCACACACACTGTCACACACACACCACTGCACAGTGTGTGTGTGTGTGTCAGTGTGTGTGTGTGTGTGTGGCATGACTTGGCCAAATGCACAGCGCTGCATTGCAGTGCTGAGGCTGAGTTGGCATGCCGAGTACATAGCGTGCATACTGCGACTGTGTGCCAGGCTGACACACACACGCTTATATCGCTGTCTCTGTGAGGACATCTGCTGTATGTACAGCCACCCACAGCCCCTGATCCTGACCCCAAACAAAGTTTGAACAACCACACAGTCCTTTAAAGGAGCGTGACACACAGAGGCCGAAGGGTCCTCGCTCTGATGGTGAAACAGCCGTGCTTGGTCCTCACAGCGATAGTCACACCAGCACACACAAACACAAAGCAGCAGTTTTGCAGCCTCAGCTTCCATCAACACTTACAGTTTCTAACACGAGAGAGAGACAGCTACTGTAGAGAGACAGACAGGCCTGGTGTCTGTGTTTAATGGGTGGGTGGATGCTGAATGTGTGAGGGAGGGGGAGGAGGAAGAGGAGGGGGTGCTAAGGCTAAATAAGGATTCGTACAGTAGCTCTGTGTGTGTGCGTGTGTTTGTTCATGTCTTTCTGTGTTTATGTAGACATATCGTGGTTGAAATCTGTCCTGCTGAGGACTTTCCTGCACTGTGAGGACATTGTTTGGTCCTCAGCCCTACAAAGGGTCACCTTCAGGGTCAGGTGAGGTCAGGTGAGCGGGCCTGCTACCTGCTGACGTACAGACTCTGTGGTCTCCAGCATCGGTCGAGGGTCTCATCTTTGTGCTGCATTTCTTAGAAAAACTCCATCTGCTTGTTCTCAGTGTCTCCAGCTCTGTAACAGCTCTGCTCACAAGCAGCATGTCTCTAACACCTCACTGTGTCCCGACACCAATGTGTCACTAGGGCTGGGCCATATCATACCGTTCACGGTAATACCGCTGCAATGTTAGGCAACAATAAAAAAATGAAATATCGCGATAGAATATGGGTAAAATGCGCCTGCGCACGTGGCCGAAAAAGCATGGCGGTAACGGAGAATGAGAAGGGGGAAACAGATGAACCAGAATTGGTTTGTAAAAATGCTGCAACTTCAGTGATGTGGAACTGGTTTGGTGTTTGTCCGTCAGATACACAACAAAGCACTTTTTTTCGTACAACATGCAAGCGGCCGTCGTTATTGCCGTATTTGTCGGACTAAGGTGCTCGTAAACCTGGGAGTAATCTGGGTCCTAAACTCCGTCCTCTTCAGGTCCCAAAGCCAAACGAACACTGCAGCATCACTGAGTTAAAAACTGTCTAAATTCTTTCCTATTTGATAAAATGATCAGTGTTGCTGCTTTACCAGGTGTAACTGTGAAGTTTAACATCCAGGCATCCATGAAAACAGAAGTTATTACATTTAACAGAGTTAGACGTTAGCAGGAAGTTAGCTCACTAGTTTCACTAGTTACCTAAACATGATATAGCATGTTCTGAGTGAGTGATTTCTGAAAAAATTCAAACATACACCTCCAACATAAATGAAGACAGAAAACTAAACAGCAGTGACGTTTGTAGGGTTACTTAAGTTGGGCTAGCTGGTATATAATGATGTGCTACGTGATCGCTAGCTACACAGCTATGTTAGCATAACATTAGCACAGTGAAGCTGGAGGATGAACGCTAACACTTTTCCACTCGATAAAAGTTAATGTGAAGGTTCCCGATGGTTAGAGACAAATACAGTCGCATGGCAGGGTGCTGTAAAAGGACCAAACTTCAGTCAGGAGAACAACTGAGATAATCCATCCACAATATGAGGTTAGTTATTACAGTTTTTGCCCGTTGCTTGAACACATTTTGCAAAACTTCGCTCATTGTGCCAAAACTCTAAACACAAGTAAACATGACACAACACTGGGAAATATA